AACGTAATCTGTAAGGTAAAACGTTAAATAATGTTTTTTTTCGTGAAAGTTGATTCAATTTGTTTTATATGTTAAAACGTCAAGTATCGAATGTTGAATAACAGCTGTTCGATATATATTCACCATTAATATAATATATAACTTCTGAGTTATTTTAGAATATTTACTTTTATTGTCAAGGTATGTTGAATAACGTAGGATAAGTTTTACTGTAAAACTTACTAGGTTACTCGATGGATCACAGACTGGATGCATGCATGTACCATTGTCTAGTTGGTTGGTGATCGTCTCGAATGGTTTGGTGTTATACATACTACTAAAGACTGGATGCATGCATGTACCATTGTCTAGTTGGTTGGTGATCGTCTCGAATGGTTTGGTGTTATACATACTACTAAAGACTGGATGCATGCATGTACCATTGTCTAGTTGGTTGGTGATCGTCTCGAATGGTTTGGTGTTATACATACTACTAAAGATAATAATAAAAAAATACATTCTTTTAAAACATAATTCTGTTAAAATTGTCACAGATTACAATCAGCTTTCCTTATTGTTTTACACAATTCCTCCGGTGGGTCAGCGGTAAGTTTACGGACTTACAACGCTTAAATCCAGCGTTCGATTCTCCGGGGTGGACAGAGCGCAGATAGTCCATTGTGTAGCTTTGAGATAAACCAACAACAACAAGTTCTACATAACTCAGTCACCACTGATTGGCTAATGTATACGTTTCACCAATGAGAACACGGTACAGAATTTGAACTGCCTGTACATATCCTAGAACATGGATGATGCTTAAAACAATCTATATGAAATAGTATGGTGAAAATATTATTATAACAAACAATGCTCAAAACATAACAGGCAAAAACTGTTAAAACAGGATATGTAAAGAATAAAAAATACAGTTTTCCTGTTGGCTGTGTAGTTACATCGGCGGCTTTATTTGAGCAGTAATTATAAGTAAGCTATTACAGAATCACGTAATATTGTTAAATGAAACTGAGGGAACTAAAACATACTAATAAATGATAAAATAATTGGCATTACTTAATGTAATAATCACAATTTACACTACAACCTTACTTGGCGAACACTAATTGACTTAGTATTTTCACCACAGCCATACTTGGCGAACTCAAGGAGAGAGAGCCAGCTTCCAAAGAGTGTTATTGAAAGAAATTTAATCCTATGAAGAAAAATAAAAAAAGAACCTTAAACAAATAATATTTTAATAGTTGTCCACCTGGTGTATTATTTTACTCTTGGAGCTTAACATATAAGGGCACCACCAAGATATAAAAAACTAAACTATTCCCAACTTTAATTTGTCATGGCTGATAAATAACATTTCGAGCTGCTCGCGCACATTTACATCCAGTATTTACATTAATAACATTTCGAGCTGCTCGCGCACATTTACATCCAGTATTTACATTAATAACATTTCGAGCTGCTCGCGCACATTTACATCCAGTATTTACATTAATAACATTTCGAGCTGCTCGCGCACATTTACATCCAGTATTTCAAAACATCGTTTCCCAACTATTTTACGGTTGATGAAACGCAGTACATCATCCTAAACAAGAGAATGATAAGAATTATTTTACATCATATATTTCTATTTCATTGTGACAGGCTGTTTGTTTCTGATATTCTCGCAAAGCTATACAAAGGTTATCTACGCACAGCCGTTCCTAATTTTGAACTAATAGACTTGAGTCTCCCCCAGTCGAATAGTGAAATTTCATATTCGCTATTATAATGCACCCACAGCCGAAAGTGCGGAGCGCGATCTTGTGGCAACGGAATGTGAACCATGGACCACTGGATTCAGTGTCAAGAAGGCTAACCACTAAGCCACGGCCGCCCCAACATTATGATGAGTTTTCAAACAATTATGGAAAACAGCATTTTTTTGTTGAATTTTTGCTAGAAATGTTTGTTATTAAGTACAAAGCTACACAATGGGCTATCTGTGCTGTGCCCACCACGGGTATCTAAACTCGGTTTTTAGCGTTATAACTCTTCGGACTTACCGCTGAGCCACTGAAGGTGTTAGAAATATGTAGGTTGAGAATATCTTAAACTCAAAACGTGTAACTCTCTCTGCTTTTACTGTTTTTTTTACATGGTAGTGTAGCTCAGTTACTTGCACTGTTATATAATATTTCTACGTTTCACAATGCAATTATATTCTTAATCTGTTTTTAAATTCAAATTTTTCTTTTCTTTAAAAAAAAAAAGTTTATGGTTTATTGTTACGCATTCTTACGTTAATATTATTTATTTTGGACCGTGAGTTAAATGTATCTCATTCCGTTTCTTTGAATAAGAATCATACATTATTTAAAGTGAAAGAGTTGTTATGAAACTGGTATGTAATGTGGACTTTTTGTTCGTCTGTGTATATGAGTTTGTTCTTATTTTAACGACTTTTGGAGAAACTACAGATCAGCTTATGCATCAGAGTTAAGTTATACTTTTCCTGTGTCTTTAACAATCAGTTGTCTGTTACTAAATATACCAATGAAAAAAATCCTAGCCACCTGAATTTCTTTCTTTCCATAGCCTTAGAAAAAGTAGCTAAGAGAGGAAATATTGTGTGTTTAAGAGTGGAAATGCTCGTTAGTAAGTTTGAACCAATAACTTTATAAATATATATATTATACGACTTAGTCTTAACTTCAAAATGGTATTCCTTCTACATAGTGTATAGTAGAGGATTTTCTCACGAGGCCATCTAGAACAGTGCGTGTTCTCCCACTAAGATAACCATCCATTAATTCAAGAAATAAATTCGCCTGTGCAAAACTACATTGAATTATTTGCTGTGTCCACCGCGGGGAGTTGAACCCTGTACTTTAGCGTTGTAAGTCCGTAAAATTAGCGCTGTTCAACATTAAACGGAACCGAGACTGCTATAGGTCAAAATCACTAGGCGACCCTGTTTATTGGACGTTTATTGTCGAGTGTTGTCGTCTTGCGTCTTCTCATCAACGTCGTCATCAGCCTTGGCCTTTTCTCTGCTTCCTGAACTCCCGGACATCTGCCAAATCTCCACACTAACCAATTAGCAGATATTAATTAACTCTAAAAGTTATTTTAACCCCACCATCTTAGCAAAATTTTCTTTCTCGCGAGCGGGGCGAAGGGGGGATATTAATATCCCTGAACACCTCAGTTTAAGAACGTTCTCTTTACTTTAAAAACTAAATACTTGCCACGATTTTTAGGTTTTTTAGATCAAAACAAACAATTTCATTGGAATATGAGGGTGATATGTAAAGCTAAAATGTATATTTTACAGAATCTTTAAAATCACTGCAGAATAAGACGTTTTCAGTGATATGTAAGAGAAAAGAGAAAATCCCCAAACTGCGTTTTTAATTATCTTCGTTCATTTACAAAAATATATAAAAACGAAAAAAGAAAACAAAAGACATGTAGAGTCAGGATTATTTGTTTGTTTATGTAAGCACAGAACTGTACAATGGGCTATCTGTACTTCGTGCACTGAAGGGATCAACTTTTAGCGTCATAAGCCTTGAAGTTTAACACTTAGTCACCTGGGAGACAATCAGTATAGTTAATCCAGAAAGCGAATGATAGATGAGATGAAAATATACATGCAATGTCTATGCAACCAAAAAGTATTAGAAAATACTGGTCAAAGAAAAAGAGAAACCCTGTTCCAATATCATGTTGAACCAACGTGTACTTTACTCACCTTCAGAATCTTTTGAAGAATAGAGTTCATTATGTTTGATTTTCACAAAATTCTCAAGCGATTTTATCTCCATATCCTTCAAGGTTGAAGATTAAAGAGTACATTATATTGCAGCACAGCCCAATAGCTCTCACTTAGGGTTGAGATCTTGGTATTTCGATAACCAGGAATAATGGCGGAACTCTTGCTCGTGCTCTTCAAACCACTCGGGTTTCTGATGATGTAACGTTAAACTTATGTTACCCCTAAAAATATCTAGAACAAGGGGAGATTATAAAAACGACATTTTGTAAAGCAATTAGTTAGATTAAATTAAGGGTATTTGGATATCTTGATCCCCACCCAAGTTTTGTACTTAACTCTTCAGATAATATATTGAAATGTCGATTTAGCTTGCCTAAAAGTCGTCCGTGGTTTTGGTGTTTTTTCTTGCTTAATTGTTATTCTTTTCATTTCGTTTTACTGTCATAATAAGCCATGAGCGTGGTGAAGAAAAATAATTTTTTTAACACCCTCGATTGCTTTTGTTCCTGAACTCTTTATGAGTTTAGTCGTAGTCATCAAAGTTAGATTAGTTGAGATAAAAGAGAGGTATCGCACTACCGTGTACAAGTGTGTTGATTTTTACGTAGAGTGTAAACGTAGGCCTAAACAATTTACGACAGTTTAAGCTTCTACAAATATTTAAAGAAGGAAATAAACTGTCTCATTAAATGGACATGACTGGAATTATTTTCACGTTATAAATTAAAAGAACTCACAAAAAAAAAAGAACCACGTTACAACAGACAGTCAACAGTATATTTGAGATCATTAATGGTTTCTTTCGACAGATTCTGAGCAAGTGAATACAATACGAGGTGTTATTAAGCCTAAAACAAAGCGTTGTTCGGATTTCCTTATGATACTAAAAATTTTTTTCGGTATTTATATTCTCTTGCAGGAATAAAAATAATTTTCCACTCTCAGTTACAAATATTCGGCTAAAAACATCCTTACCTACCTTTCGTGGCAGGAAAACTGGATCCACTCACATATTTTAGTTTTTGTTGTTTTGTTTGAAGTTAAGCACGAAGCTACACAATGGGCTATCTGTGCTCTGCCCACCACGGGTATCGAAACCCGGTTTTTAGCGTTGTAAGTCCGCAGACATACCGCTGTGTCACTAGGGGACATATTTTAGTGGATCTTACATGTGTATCTGTATCTGGCATAAATCAGATAAATGTGATTGACATTTATTCTTTACGTTTCTCTCTTTTAGAATCTCAAAGAACAAATTATGACAACGAATGTTTGGGTGGAACAGGTAAGCACATTATTTTATTTAATAAAATATTTGTTTAATATCCTGAGTTTAATTAATAATGATCCAACTGACATATACAGAATCTATACAATGACATTAATAATGATCCAACTGACATATACAGAATCTATACAATGACATTAATAATGATCCAACTGACATATACAGAATCTATACAATGACATTAATAATGATCCAACTGACATATGCAGAATCTATACAATGACATTAATAATGATCCAACTGGCATATATAGAATCTATACAATGACAAAGTAGAAAATTACATTTTACCCAAAAGTCTACATCGGTTTCGTACTGGACCACTATTACGACGAATATAAATTTAAACTCACGTTATACGGGAAATATATATATATATACACACACGCGTTTTACCTCAAGAATTTGTAATTTATACGTTAGGCCCACAGACAATAGATCTTGAGTTATGTGACGATTACTAACCTGATTAGACTATACAGTTACCAGTAATAGCCTAATCTGCTTAGTGTTGGTTACCTATTACGGTGAAGTCGAATCGGTTCTCTGCAGGCCTAATTTATAAAATAACAAAACAATAGCTATGTTCCATTGAAAACTTAAAGAAAAGAAAGAATATATTGGACATAATTATTTTTATATTATTGAAATGAAGTCTTTTCAGCAACAAAAATCATGGTGTGAACGTCTTTTCTAAGCTGACGAAACATGATTATATTTAATTATACTTGTCATAATACATTAGTATCAGGCCCATTATAACCATACTTGTCATAATACATTAGTATCAGGCCCATTATATTGTTAACACTACATACTTTATATAGTCCCTTAGGGATTTTCAATAATTAGAAGACTGTATAATAATATTTAAACCACACCACGCTTCGCCAGCTTTGAAAAGGTGTTAAAACCATAATAACTGTTGTTGTAACAAATGGCTTGTATAAATAGTGTTCCAACTATTACTGTATTCATTATATCCCAGTGGGTCTGAAGTGCTCTGAAATGAGCGAAACGCTTCGTCAGAAATGGACATGGCCTGAGTCCGCTTGTCAAGTTTGATCTTGCTAGTTTCAAATCTTTGGAAGAATTTCATGAACAAACATATTTGACAAACACGGCGTACTTTAATATAGGATAACCCTTCAATAAATTAACTAAACCTGGTAATGCATGATTTTAAATTACAATGTACCTCAAGGAGTCCATAAAAATCTGGGGATGACTTTCTGGTGGTCTTATGTCTGAATATTATGTATAGGTATATAAATTATATTTTATTTTATAAAATAAACAAGCGTGCTATTAACCAACTAAAGTAATATGATCTCATTTAGGACAACATAGAAACTGTAAATTTTACGTTTGCAAAAGCATTAACCCTGTTGTATCGTAATGTTCACTCTCAAAGAACCGTATACTATACAGTGCATTTTCTATTGGAGTAAAATCTTAATATTTTACGCACTTACAAAAGTTTTAAAATGATGAAAACTAAACCAGTGGCATGCTGTCTCTGCATATAATCTGTTGCTTAAGTTATAAAATTAGGTATAAGGATGCAATAGATTTCTACCGTATTATTTTAATATAGTATTGTTTTATTTATTAATTATTTTGGTATTACACTTTCCACGTGTTCAGGAAAGTCCTTAAGTAGGTTTCGTTCTAGCAACCTTTGTGCTTATCCCTCAGTAGGTCAGCGATAACTTTATGGACTCACAACGCTAAAATCCTGGACTGGATTCACCGCGTTGGACAGATTGCAGATAACCCATTGCGTAGCTTTGCAGTAAGAAAAAATTGAAAACTTTATTCTCTGTTATTATTTTGAGATAAAACCTGATCTGTCCGTATATATGTGTGAGGTGGGAGGCTACCGATATAAAGCTAAATCATGTGTATGAATACAGACAGAAATTGTAGGCTAGGTGTTTGCCTTTAGGATACAAACTCCCTTAAATATGGATGGGGATAAGCAGTCACATGTGTATCGCTAGTTGCTGTGGGTAAGTATGATGTTATCATTAGGTGTGGTCAATCTGATAAAAATAATCAAGTGCAGTTTAAAGAGAGAACAGCTCAGATCCAGTAAAACCGACTGTCCAATGTCCAGAACAATTACACATATTGTGTTTGTATTATAAATAACAAAGATTGATCACTGTGCCTTACATTTTGTCCAGTCTCTTTATTCTCTTTTCACAAATGCAGTCAATTTCAGATAAATTGAGAACTATTCTGTAATAAATATCTTGTTTGATTCTCCTGCTATTCTGTGGAACTATACATTTGCTCTAAAGAATATCAGTTGAATCCTGGTCATGGCACGAACCTTTTTTTTCTCCCTACCTACTTAGTAGTATTCTCAGATAAAACTGATATTCTTTAGAGCAAATGTATAGTTCCACAGAATAGCAGGAGAATCAAACAAGATATGTATTACAGAATAGTTCTCAATTTGTCTGAAATTGACTGCATTTGTGAAAAGAGAATAAAGAGAGTCTGTGTTTTTGTGTGTCTTGCCTTTTTTCTGATGTGCGGTTTGCTCTTTTATCCTACTTTTTTGTTATCAAGCTTAAAATAAGCTTCATTTTTGAAGAAAGGGCATTTTCCTCAACTCGTAGGACTTACAATCAAAAGGAAGTCTTGTCTCTGAAATTGTTGGGTTTACACAAGAAGTTTTTTTACTTACACATTGGACTTTGTCCAATGCTGCGGAGGTCTATGACTTCCATCTCATTCAACAGCTGACGTCTTAGGACGGAGAGCTGCTGCTGTTGTCTTATCTGATTTGCCCAGAGTGGCGGTGTATGATCTTCTCCTGAAGCTCAATCTCAATGCAAGGAAAATAGGTACAACAGAGGATCATTGCAGTGGTGTGATGTGTGGTGTATAAGACGACCAAACATTTGCCAACCATAATAACTTAACTCCAGCTCTGGTCAAAGCCACCCGAGAAGGGTGAAAAAAAGACTGAGGATTCTGTTGGTAGACAACCATCCATCCACCAACTGGAGCTATCTCACTGACTGAAGAGATGGTGGCCATCAAATGGTGAAGATGGAGAACGAGGGCAGTGATGAGCCTCTCAGAGTTACAAAATATATTGCTATGTTAACTATGGATCGTATAGAGCCTGTGGTGATTGAGAATCAATGGATGAGCTCTTGATGGCCACTCATTGCTCTGTAACCTTAGCATGCTTATCGAGATGTACCTACGCGGACGTCTTGGTGAAGTGGTGGCTGAGAGTTTGAGGGAAAGATTGTGACAAAAATCACCAGTACCCATGAGATAGGTAAAACAGATCACCTCTGACATTCAATGATCCAGGAAAGGAATATTTGGATCATTTCCTAAAGTGTTTCAGGCAGATAACTGTTTGGAATGGCTGGTCTCTAGAATAGCTGCTCAATGCTGGATCTTCAGTCTGGATGGTCAAACCGAGGAGTAACCAACTACTCACACACAGTACGGCAATACAACCACATTGGTATCCAGTAAATTGACGGGCCTCTCATGGTTTTCATGCTGTCCAGATGTCATCCTGGAAGAGAAGAGCAAATCATTTGCTTTGTTTATTGGGTGTTGACCCACTGCTTTTCCTTGTTGAAAAGCAAAATAGACAAGGCTATAAGTTTTGATCATTGACTCAGCTGGTGCAGGATGCCAACAACAAGTGGTGAATGTTATTTCTCCAGCTCTGGGAAGCTAATGGAGCCCAAATCAGGCCTGTTTACCAACATGGACAGTACAATGGATGTTTTAAAAAATATTGTAGTCAGTCCAAATTTTTAGGGTTGGGTGGGTCTTCGTACATGCCTGTCAGAGTTCAATGACGAGAGATAGAGTCCTAGACTGATTCAGGAGTGACCAGAACACTGGTATACTTTGGAGTATGTCAGGCACTCAGAGGAAAACTACCACTTGGGCTGGTCAGCAAAAACATTATTACTTAGAATTAGGATGGTTTCTTTATCACAGTACCAGCTGGACTACAAAACACTTTATGACTTTTATTTTCTGAAGTACTAAGTAGTTTTAGTAGATGAAATATCCATAGGATATTGGATGATAGTTAATAAATTTCACAAATGTAGGGTGGCTGGTATTAATAGATCTAATACCTAGACCATCAACAGTTTGCACATCTGAAGATGGTGGTTAGAAGTTCAAATACTCAGATGAAAGAGCTTTGCAGCCCTTGCTTTCCAACGTTTTGAGGTCATCGCTCATCTGATCTGCCAGAAGTTCTATAGAACATACCACATGGGTTTTGCTGGATTATACTCCATACACCTAAAGAATGTATATAGCTTTTCTACATTCTGTGAAGAAGTCATCTTTTTTCTAAGTGTGCACTGATATATATATATATATATATTGTAGTAGCAGTATAAACATTAACCCTGGCTGCTGAGAATTCTCGTGGAAAGGAGTTAGGTTGGCAGAGTTCTGCCAATTATTATTTGTTTGGATGCCTGAAATGAAAACATGTGTCGAGTTTGATGGTTAATAGAAGACAGTAAAATAGGGAACGCAGATACAGAGTCGTTGAATCAGAAAGTAACCTATAATATTAATAAAGTAATTTGAACGGGAGGGAGAGGCAGCCTGTTATAAGCTATTACTGTATGTACGATCATGTGTAATAAAGATTATGAACATTACATAAACTCTTTCATAAATCTTGAATAACACAAATGAATCGACTACGCATAAAACGTAACAGTTAATCAACTTGTAGATGGAAACAAATGATTTGATGTGGATGTTAACACCTTGTGATATGAGGTTAACCATGATTACTGACCTATAAGGTGTTATTTGAAGATAATTGCACCTTTAAAATTCAAAATATTTGTGAGAATTTTTCAATTTTGACATTTAAATATTTGGCAGATAGTGAATTTTCCTGGAAAGATAAATATAACAAGCTATATATCTGAGAGAAAACAGTATTACCTGCTGTTTCTCGGTAAAAGTAGTGCGGGATATTTCATATGACCCAAAACGCAATATTTATAAGTGAGTAAAATTATAAATAGCAAATGAAATTCACATACAGTGGTTTTTATATAGCATATTAAATTTAAATATGATGTAGGTAATGTTTCATTTGACTATGATGTAAAATTTTCAATCATACAAATTGAAATATTTTATAAACACAGTTTTCTAAGCATTTTCTTATCATTGTTTAAGTACAAGGTGCAGTTAAAATGCATGAAACTGCAGACTGTGAGTGTATT